CTCCGGGGTGAGAAAGCCCCGTTCGTAAGTGCGGATCCGACATAAGTCGGATCCGCGTAAGTCGGGGACTGCCTGTATATCCACTTTCTATTTACAAAGTGGTGAACCAATTTATAAAGTAGTTTACCTGCTGACATAAAACTATCTACATGTTCTCCTTTTTCAGATGCAGATACACTTTAAGCAATAGTAACAGAGAGGTAGCCGTGTTAGTCTGATCTTAGTAAAAGATCACCTCGCCCCCACCTTCTGATTCTATGTAGCTGATAAGTTACTGTATAATTTGTTTACTTCTTCATTGTATCCTTCTGTTATATAATGGTCATGCCAATTCACTTTCAGAATATCATCTGAAGAAGTGGGTCTGCCCCACAAAAGCTCATCACCTAATAAACTATCTTGTTAGTCTTTAAAGTGCTACATATTTTTTCCTTTTGTTTTACAGAGATCAGACTAACATGACTACCTCTCTATTATAAAATAGATGGTAAATTCCTAAGATACAGTGCTAGAGGGATTTGGCTCTAGTGCCTTTCTACGTGAGATTCACGAGGGGCTCGGGGAGAATTTATGCAATCTACCTGGGCGTAGGGTCTCCACATGTAGTTGTGTGGAATGATAACAGGGTCTGCAGGTGTTGCATCTAGCCATTGGCAAGCCATTGTGAGAGAGAGCCCAGGCTGGAGAGAGTTAAGGGGGCACAGGGGTCCCACGTCCCAGGCTGCACCTCAGCTGATCCTATTACAATATGGTTATGCATATCAATTACATATGCACAAGGAGGCAGAATTAAGTTTGCATTGGCAGCCCAAATGCTGGTATTTCATAACTTTCAAGTGCATGACTTTGCAACCTAAAAAAGTTTTAATGTAACAAACATATTCTGTTACAAGCAACAAGTTATGCAATGTTAGCAAGGTCCAAACACAGAATTTTCTGTATTGCAGTACAGATTTTTGCCATTTGACTTATACAACTAATTACACAAACTGGCAAAGAAGGCTGTTTTCCCAGAAAAAAGATGGACTGCTGGTCCTGAGTGTACTTGATACTTCTCCTGCTCTAGGTCATACTCTTTGAAAGGCAGATGAGTAGCTAGAGGTATGTTCTGAGTCTTGGGAGTCATCAGGGAAAGACTGGACCAGCATACTCTCTCTTTTCCGTGGGAAGTGGGGAATTCCATTGGGTGAAGAATAATTACTGGACTCAGATAATGGTTCTGGGGGAGGATTTGGAGGTGGGAGAGAGAGCCTTGCTTGGTTCCTGTCTCATGAAATGCCTTCTGAAGGCATGCTTCAATCGAACCATGTGTATTAGCTTGGGAATGGGGAACCTAGCCCGAGTCACTTCCCTACTTCACTATTACAGCTACTGCTGTAGTTCCCATGTGTTTTCAGAACAATGGCTGCTGCTGCTGCTGCTGCTGCTGCTGCTTCTTTAGCAACACTGAGATTTGGCCGTAGAACATTTGTGTACTGCTGCCATTTTCCGGAAGGAGGCAAATTAATGAAAGGGAAAATTGAAGTTTTGAATGGTTAATATCACAGCAAATGCAGGATGGAATTTCAAGGGGCAAAGAAAAGGAACTTTGATAGCCTGAGGGATGTCCTTCCAAACATCAAAGTTCTACTGCAAACAGTGGGGTGGGATGAGAGCTTCTCAAAGGAAAGGTTTTCAGGGACCTTTCTAATGGAAAGTGTTAGCAACCTACATATGAGAGTCCTGCTATTGTTGCACAGCTCCTGCAGCAACTCAAGAAGGAGACTTGGGGAGCAAAACAATATCTCTTCGGGCACTTCTACACTGCAGCATTATTTTGAAATAACAAGGTGAGCATCTACAGAGCAAACTAATAACGGGCTTCTTATTCCAGAGTAATAAACCCTCATTTCAGGAGGAATAATGCCTATTCCAAAATAGTTATTTCAAAATAGAGAGTGTGTAGACGGGGCAGCTGAGGTTATTTTGAAATAATTGGCTTCCAGGCCTTCTCACAGCTGCCCCGGTGGCCACTCTGTCCATACCCCTTAGAACTCTATAGCTCCCCTTCCCCTGCAGCCTTTAAAGCTCCAGCCACAGGGAAAAGTTTGTGTGGCACAACGAAGGCTCTTCTAGCCTCGTGCCACACGCCAGCAGCCTTCGCTGCTTTTTTTGCTGCCATGGCGGACCCCAGCGCTCTTACCGAGTCCCCCATGGCTGCAAGCGAGCAGGCAGCCAGCTCTGAGGCCTCTTCCCAGTCTGGCGTGGAGATCCTGGATCAGGCAAACCTCCACCAGCTGCATGAATGCCGATGTCTATGGCCAGATGGCCACCAGACTGGCCCAGAAGGGCCACATGCGCATCCAGGAACAGGTGTGCATGAAAATAAGAGCTGAGGCAGGCCAGGAAAAGGAGTTCCTGATTAGGGGCAGCACTCAACTTATAAAGTTATTATAAGCAGCTGCAATCCATCCGGGGGGGGCGGTCCCGCCACCCCCTGTCCCTCCCCTGATGGACGTCTTTAGGTCAGAGAGTCCATGGTCAGCCTCCTGGAGGTCGGGTTTGTGGATGAGGAGGACAAGGAGGAGGTCAGTACTGATACCGTGCCCGCCAGCCAGGAGCTCATCCTGTCCCTGGAGCTGTCCCACCCTTCCCTCATCCCCAAGCTCCCCACTCAGGATGTTGCCTAGGGTTCAGACAAAGCCAGGGAAGGTCTATGAGGTGACTTCCATTACTTTTCCTAGACACACACAGGGGGAGGCAGTGAGCAGCTGTGCGCTCCACGCTTGGCCGTCTCAACTTGGGGATCCCACATCAGTCTATGCACATGGCTGTGCATGGAGCACCAGTCCAGAGCAGTCAGTCGCATGAGGCTACCACAAAGGAACCAGTCACTCCTTCTCACAAGGCTCCTGCACAGTCCTACCTTATTCCGAACTCTGTGGTGGGACCTTCCCACCATAAGCTACCACTAATGAGGATGGGGTCAGAGCAAAACACAGCTGTGCCATGCATAGCACACGGTCATGCCCGCACTCTTGGGACAGCATCTGCTCCTGGGCATGTGCAGTGAGGTGGATGACACCAACTCCCTGTATGAAAACCTTCTGGGAGGGAAGAAGTGGAGGGGACCCCAGCAGCACCAACCCCAGCAATCGGCGTCTGCTGCTCACACACACCTTCCCTGACATCCTCTCCTCCAGTGGCCAGGGACAGAAGTCCTGTCCCTGTGGGACACCACCACTGCCAGACCCAACATGTGTACTGCATTAAAGGAAGCCGAGCCACCTCCATCACCCTCCCCCATGCCTGCCCATGGGCTCCCGACCTGCCCAGCATTTTCCCATGCCTCCTTGTTCCTGGGACTTGGGGGTAGCAAGGCTACCATGGGACGTCCATGCCCCTGCAGGACATTGCCCACTGTCTAGGCCACAGATGGCCTTGCTCGAAGTACATCGCTATCAACTGACCTGACACCTTTTGGTGCTAGCTCACATATTAGAGCTAGGCTTCATACACAGTCTCTCCTGGGATGACTGCCCTTCTCTCTGTCATTCACAGCTGGACCAGCTGCTAGTGAGGCATGTCCACCACCCCTTGTGCCATCCTCCTGATCAAGCGAGAGCTGCCGCTGCAGATGACCCCGCGAGGACCTGAGGCAGGAACACATCGTCTGATTGTGTTCCCTGCAGCAGTCTCTCGAGCAGCTGGACCAGAGGTTGGACACCAACCTGGAGGAGTGCCATACTAACAGGGAGCTATGCCACACCATATGGCAGGAGCTTTCCCAGAAGACTGCTGCTGTCAACTGCCTGGTTGCTTTGATTGAGTGGTCCAGCAGCCGTCCTCCCTCCCCGCACCTGCTCCTTCCCAAGTCCCCCTCTGCTCGTGCTCCTGCCCCTCCAGCTTCTCCCCCTAGTCCTGCACCGTGGCCGCTGAGGGCCCCACACAGGAGGCAGTTGGACCACCCAGTGCAGGAGCTAGTCCCAGCCCTGAGCCTCTCCCCCTCCCCCTTCAATGTTCCTCCTTCCCTCTCCCAGGTTCTTTCCCCAGTCCCTCCCCAGTTATATTTACCCCACATAAAAAAAATGTTTATTCGTTCATCCAAAAATTCTGGTTTATTTGGTCTGCTGGCAGGGGGAAGGTGGGAAGGCTGTGTCCCCCACGATGAACGTGGGCATGTCCACATCCCTGACCCTGATGGTGCAGTAAGAGAAAGAAGTGCCGGCATGCATCTTCTGGAACAGGCTGGAGTTCCTAAAGATGCAGGCGTTGTGTGCCTTCCCCCACCAACTCACACTGATGTTGGTGAACCGGCCTCAGTGGTCAATGAGAACCTGCAGGACCATTGAAAAGTACCCCTTCTGGTTGATATAATAGGAGACCTGGTGGTCGGGGGGTCCAGATGGGGATGTGGGTGCCATCAATGGCCTCCCTCCAGTGGGGGAAGCCCATGACAGCAAAGCCGATGACGATGGGCTCCACATTGCCCTGCATGACAACCCTGCACAGCAGGATGGTGTTAATAGCCTTTACCACCTGGAGAAGGAGACAAACATAGAATCACAGAGCTACCAGAGCCCTTGGGAGGTCCCTGAGCCAAACCTCCTCCCAACACCATGCCCAACCCCAACTTACCCCATCCCTGGCAGGGCTTTGTGAAGGCGTGATTGCAAAACCTCTAGGGAGGGAGATTCTGCACACACAGCCTTCCCTAGGGAACCCATTCCAGTGCTTCACCATCCTCCTAGGAGAATAGTACGGCAGTCATAGCTGCATGAACATGGCCCCGACGGTCAATGTCCCCATGCCAAACTGGTTCCCAATGGAGCAGAAGTTGTCTGGCGTGGCGAGCTTTCAAAGTGTGATGACAACCCACTTCTGGAGGGGGATGGTGCATTGTATTTGGGGGCTCTGTCACCGGAGGGTGGGGTGAGCCACTCGCACAGCTCCAGGAAGGTCTCCTTCTGTATGCGAAAGTTCTGGAGCCGCTGCTAGTCATCCCACCACTCCATGATGATCCAGTTCCACCAGTTGGAACCAGAGTCCCAGCACCAGAAGTGGTCGTGCACGGTGCAGGGGAGAGAGGGAGGGGTTGTGCTGTGTGAGCAGCATGTGGAGAGAGGTGAGGAGGTTCCCCAGAGTGAGCTGCAGGTCCTGGTCCTGCAGTGCCATGTGGCTAGCGTGCAGTAACTGCATCAGGAAGTACAGCATGAGGTCTAAGAGCCAGCGAATACTTTGCAGCAGGTCCAACTCCATGGTGGGGGTGCTGTGGTGTCCGCAAGGGCAACCAGAGCATTCATTGAGATGCATTTGCTGTCCCTCGAGGAGGTAGGCAAAGGTGAAGAGCCTGAGACACAACTGTACAGGAGTCCCTTTAAGCACGGGCCTCAGATAGCCACAGACAGCAGCTATAGGAAGTGACTGCTGTCCTGATGCCCTACCTGGAGGCCTTCTGGGAGCCCTTAAATGTGATTTGGGCTCTAATCTGTATGGACGCACTATTTCGATATAGCTCTATGCTATTTCGATGGGGATTTGTAGTGTGGATGCACTATTTTGAAATACTATTTTGGGAGTTATTATACCAAAATAGCTTATTTCAAAATAAGCACGTACTGTAGACATATCCTAACCTGGTCACATTTAGCTGTAGGGACTTTTATCCAGGAAAAAACAGTGAAAGCATAACTGACTAATAGCTGTATAGCATCCAATAGTGTAATATAATGCCTCTAATTAGTCTACACAAGACACTTTAGAACTACAGAAGAAAAGGAGGAGAAATAATCAAAGAGCTACTATAAGAGTATATTGATTATTTCTTGTCAGTAGTAGTGCCATTTACTAGCAAATGTTAAATCAAACCCGCGAGCACTTACTTTAATGTAGTCTGTGGAAAACATCCAGTAGTTTCCTTGTTTTGGGCCAAGCATTCTCTCTGGATTGACAGAACAAAGACTGGGGGGAAACAGAGTAGCTTATGTGGAATGTGATACAAATATAACAAATAACTTCAGTGCAGTCCTTTGCTATCAGTGCATATGTTGTTTCTCTGGTCTGAATTTATATTAAAAATGACATTGCAGAAGAGCAATGATACTGCATTTTCTGTTTTACAGTAAAACTCCAATTGTCCGGCATCCAGTGGTCCGGCATTCCCAATAGTTCGGTACCAACTGGAACCCGGAAGTGCTTTGGCCAGCCGGACAATTGGAGCTGCTCTGCGCCGCTTCCTCAAGTCCGTTGCTGCTGCTGCTGCTGAAACTGACCAGCTGCGGGCCCAGGGAAG